TGGCGCCAAATTTTAGGGCTCTTACCAAAACACCTAGTTTGAATACCATTGGACATTTATAAAAGGAGCAAGCGTGGGAGGGCTTAACAGAAGGAAAAAGCACTGGGTTTACATAGGAATATTCAAATCTTGCTTTGCTTACTCTGTTACCATCTGTTACCATCTTTAGTAAAAAGATAGATTTCAGTACAAATGAAATAGAGGGTCTTTCTTTCCTAAATGCCCAAGTTGGGACAGCCCTGACAGATCCCTTTGCTCCTTGTAAGCAATTTTCAAACCATGACTTTGGCTGGGAAAGGCAACTGAATAAATGTCAGACAAATCCTACTGAATATTACATGGTCTTGGTCAGAATAGCTTTAATTATGGCTGATGTGTACCGGCTACTATGTAACATTAGTCTGAATGTGATTGGTTAATTCTGAATGCAGCCATGGAAGGGTGTGTACACATATGCAACCATGACAGTGTACATTTTTATTATTTTCGCCCTGAAGATTTATGTTTCTTTTTCAACTGAACTGAAGTGATTTATCTTCTGATTTTTTTTACATCTGAAAACCCAGATATTTAAAAGGTATGTGTAGACTTTTTATGTCAACTATATGGAATTGCACATTATATTTGCAATTAGGTTAGGATGTACACATACAACTACTATATCATTTGGATAGAGGGCAAAATACAAACATAAACAAAGCTGTTTATTCTGTAGTCATGTATAGTCATATAACGTTGAAGTCATCCACATCCATATGATACAAAAGTGTCATTTTATTAAACATTATATTTATAATAGGTCCATGCTCTCTAAAAAAAATTAGACGTTCAGAAAAAAATGTGCCAGAAAAAACAGAGATTGGACCTGTTTATTGCTAATATGTAGGAGAAGGAAACAAATGACAAGAGGGCAAATGTTTTTGCAGGTTCAAATATCCATACATTTTTGCTTTTGAGGATTCATCTTCTATTTGTGCAGGAAGAAGATTCCTGTTAAGAAAATATCAGCAAATGAGATAAATTCCAGGATACAAAGATGCAAGAGTAGAGCATATAAAATGCATAATCATTCCTCAGTGTAAACAGATTGCTGTCGGGCATGAAAGACCAGGTCAACAAGTGAAGGTTTAATTAAACTGATTGATTGTTAAATGACTATGAACAGGAATCTTCTCAACTAACAGTCTGCATCTGGTTAGAACTAATAGAAGTAAATGAAAGATCTTCATCTGGGATACAGACAAATTAGCTAAGGATCAATGGGACTCAAGGGGGGATTGGATTTAATTCATCTGTGACTATGGAGGGATTCTAAGATAATCACTCTTTTCACTCCATCCCCAGGTTCTGCTGTTCCTTGTCCTAGAAGTGCAAGCACGTGAACCCTAATTGTCAATAACTGTTTTAAATAGTAATTATTTATACAAACATATTTTTATTCCAGAATGGTTATGAAAAAGTCTTCTTTCTGATGTTTCTATTTTCACAGTGTTTTCAAACAAATCCTAATCCCTATCAATAGCATGTTTTACTATAAGAAACATAATTTTGATCTTAAAAAGAGCAAGATTATGATAAAGATTACCTATGTTAAGGCTATTTAATCACCTACAGAGAGAATTATGTGGAAATTTAAACACCAGCAATTCCACTATACATCCTTTTAATTAGAAGACATGGTGAATCCCCAGTCATAGATACAATTTTTCATGTTGCGAAAACTTGAACAAACTATCTTTAATAAAGATAGACCACATTAGTGTTTCAATTCTATTAATTAGAAGTATTTTATGTGATAGCAGCTGAGGGCATCCAATGACATGCTGATAAGCATGTTAGTTAAGTGTTGGCTGAATATAATGAAAATTATGTGAATATATGGCTGGCTCACAGTTTATTCTCAAAGAGCTCCCATCAACTATTTTTCATCAATCTGGAATGAAGACCAAATTTAAGTCCACAGTTATCAATTCCCAAGACAGATTTTCAATATTACAATATTTTTATTAATAATCAGATAAAAAGGTAAAGGGAACTTCTCAATTTTCAAAAGTTGCAAAATTGAATAGGATTAGCTTATATTGTGGAATAAAAAATAAAATTCAAAGCAATCTTGACAGGTTGGAGAAGTGGATTAAAAGTAACAGAATGAAATTTTAATAGAAACAAATGCACTAGACTGGGGCACAGTGAAGTGCACAGATAATAGTATTTGCAATGAAGATATTGTCATAGCAGTTAATTGCAAACTGAGTCAGTATTATAAAGAATGAATTTCCAAATCATAAGAAATATTTTCTCGATTCTATTCTGATTTGGCCACATCTATCTTGACTAATGGATCCATTCTAAGAAGATTCAGTGAAATTACAACACATTTTGAAAAGGAAAATGGAGATGATTAGGGCTTTAAAAACTATGCCCTAAGGATGATTGACAGAGCTAGATAACAGTACTTTTAGCCTTGAACAAAGACGATGGTGGATAGGATAACCATCTTCAGATAACTGAAAAAGGTCACATAGAAAACTATCAAGGCATCATTTGCACCCCAAAGCACAGGACACGGAATAATAGATTTTAAATTATCGAAAGATAGATTCCAATAAAACATTAGTAAGAGCAGTTTGATGTTGGAGCCAGAAGCTTTCTTTCATTGGATATATTCAGGTGGATGCTAGACAATCATATGTATAGTATGCTTTAATCTGGATTCTTTCACACAACTAGAGGAGTAGACTCAATATTCCTTTCCAAATCTGGGATTCTAAAATAGAAGAAACAAATCTACTCAGACTTTGTGTGAACTGTCCAAGGTTCTGGTTTCATGCTTTCAAATTTCAGAGTATGTGATTATCCAGACATGACTGTACCTACTGTTATTACTTCTGATACAGCTATCTTTTGAAAATAACTTTTGTGTTAAAATGATAGGAAAACCTTATCCTGTGGAATTTTGGGTGCTTGTGATACATCTCCCAAAATACAGGAATTTAGTGCAATGTTTTGTACCCAACGCACTGATATATAGGTTATATAAGCCACAGTATTTATTATTTTTACAGGCTTTATTTATATAGCATATAAATGCGTCAGGACTCCCCCCCCCCTTTTACATATATCCAGAGCAGAACAGGACAACTCACCACAGCCAACTTGGTTCAGTCAATTCATCGCTGCCAATTTGCCATGACCAACTTGATGTGGCCAATTTGTCACAGGCCAACTTCCTGTGGCCAACACACTGCAGGGCAATTCAACATTTTTTAAAATTATTTAAAATAATTAAAAATATTTTAATTTTCGTCATTCACATTTTATTTTGTCCCTCCTTTTGCATCACTTCTTTAATGATTCTACTCCACCATTTCTTCAATATTATGTAACTTGTGAACGCCATGAATTGTTCTGTAGTGAGTTGACTGTGGCAACTTGGCCATGGCGAGTTGGCCACAGTGAGTTGGCTGTGACAAGTTGTCCTAGACCCTATCCAGCACATGGGTCCTCTGAAATCTGCCAAATCTCAATATGTAGAAAGTGTCTATAAACCTGACACATCCATGCAGTATAAAGTGCATTCAAGGTTATGGCTCTACCTACAAAACACCTGACACATCCATGCAGTATTCTTTGGCAACCTTTTTTGAAGGGGTTTTCTCTGTTCTTTTTCTAAGGCTGAAAGAAAGGAAGGGCTCAAAGTAACTCAGGGGGTTTCCATACCCAAGGCAAGATGTCACATTTTCTTCCTTCTAATAAAACACCTTAACCCTCCCCTAAATTGGTTCTTAAATATCTTAAATACTCATACTATTTCTAGTAAAATGTTTTTTTTCTTGATCTAGAAAGTGAAAAAATCATATTGTTGTATATAACTGTTTATTGCAATCTGTTACTTTATTAATCTATTAATTACAGGAAAATCTATAATTTTTATAGACACTTTATGCCAATTTCACTACTATAAAATTACAGGTGATTCTCCATTACATAATCAGAAATAGGTTGGACGCTTTGGACAAATTACTCTAGCCAAACATCATTATCTTGATAAACAGAAATAACATTCCATAAATGTATATAGACTTTTCTTTGCGACATTTCTATATGTTCTTAAACAATATCCTGAAAGTCAACTGACTTTCCCCGCCAACTTTTTTTTATTGAATTAAATTTACTTGGCTTAAAAATACAACATACAGAAAGCTTGACTTTTAAATAGGTTCATAGTATTTAGAAATACTTCATTAGTCCAGCAATAGAGCAAAAAAGCAGAAAAGTATGAGAATCAGAAGAAATAAGTGAAGGTGCATTCAAGGTTATGGCTCTACCTACAAAACACTGAGGTAACCATATGCACTATTTCATCCTTATCAATACATTGCAAACTTAGAGTTTTAATGAAGTTCTACTTTCTACTCAGACAGCAACCAGAGATTCATGAAATAAGACTTTCTTCTATTTGAAATGATGAGTAGATTAGAGCAGGATATATAAAAGATATAATAAAGAAATACATTGTAAATCAGAAATTCACTTATGCTATTGATGCTGGTGGCTGTGATGATGATACATTTAGGCGTTGACTGTAAAATCATCATAATTCTGGAAGGCTTAATGAAAATAAAAGCAGAATGAAACCATGAAGCATAGGCATAGCTTTGTTTATACTGTGATTAGATTGCTGGCTGCTTAGAATACAGTAACAGTTTATTCTGATTTTCGGATAGGAAGGAAACAAGAAAAATAGGAACAATCAGTACTCTTTATCTCTTTCCTGTCCTCATAAGCCATTAGTTTCAATACTATATACAATTCGTTTATAGATGTGATCTTAATTTGTATTATGTAGTCATTCAAACTCAAGATTACTCTTATTTTTACGCATTTTCATCATGGTTTTGATTATAACATTGGTATGTTCTAGTTCATACTTTCTTGCACATATATGGTATGCTTTATGTATTCATATTCATATTCCTTGGTTGGTTGGTTGGTTGCAGGAGAAGATCCTGAAACAAGAAGAATGAGAACTGTAAAGAATATAGCTGATCTGAGACAGAACTTGGAAGAAACTATGTCCAGTCTTAGAGGAACTCAAATAAGCCACAGGTATTGTTTACTACTGCAGTTGGACACATGGAACAATAAAACAAAAATAGTGAAAAAGTGTATTGTCTAATCAGAATCTTCAGAATTTCTTTATTTACTGAAACAAAATATAAATTGTCTTTAAAATCTGAATAAAATCAACTTGTATAGCTCATAATTAAACAATGCCAATCAATAATTGTGCTCTATCGATGAGGCCATTCTGAATGATAAAACATTGCCTGTTACTTGTAATTTGAATCTTGCCACTTGGGTTGAAGTAAACTATTTTAATAAAATTTAATCTTGAGACTGTTTAAGGATGGAGAAAACAGGTCATTCAAAGGATTTGTTAATGGTAATGACACGGCTGAGTGACACTAGTTACCATATTCTATTAAGAATATTGTGCTTATCTTTATTTAGAATGGATTTACTGAAACAAATGGGAAATATTTCAAACTTAATCTCATTGACATATTGCAATGAAAACATAACATATTAATTTTACCAACTGGTATGTATGAGTGATTCATTACATTTTACAATGAAGTCCCTGGTTTTTTTTTTAACCCTCCCTTTTATTTTACAGTATTTTATCTTTTCTACTGGCATCTTGTCACTGCATGCCATTTGGTGAACATTTAACATTTATTTTCCATTACAAGGTTCATTTTATTTTATTTAAATCTTATATATTAACATGGTTTTATCTCAAAGCCCACCATTGCTAAAAATATGGAAAATCTGAGAATGGAAATTGGCTTGTTTCAGAAAAATGTCAGCCTTAGAGTGACATGTTTAAAAACAGGTGCTATTTTTTCCCCCTAAGTCATGTTTATTTAAAAGTAGAACTTTCCTTTGTCTACCTTTCATCCCATATGCATAGAAATATGGACACCATGGTTCAACAGTTTTTGTTTTGCTTGACAGCACACTGGAAACAACATTTGACAGTACTGTGACAACTGAAGTGAATGGACGAAGCATTCCTGGCTTAACAAGCCGATCTTCTCCAGTGACCTGGAGGCTTGGACAAGCTAGTCCTCGACTCCAGGCAGGTGATGCTCCTTCCCTGGGTGGAGGGTACCCTCGCAGTGGTGCTAGTCGCTTCATCCATACTGACCCTTCTCGATTCATGTACACCACACCTCTTCGTCGTGCAGCCATCTCTCGTCTTGGGAACATCCCCCAAATTGACATGGGTGAAAAAGGAAATAGTGACCTGGACATTTCCTCTGATGTTGATGTTGGAGGGTACATGAGTGATGGGGACATTCTTGGGAAGAGCCTTCGAGCTGATGACATCAACAGTGGGTATGTTTTTCTTTTTTGTAAAAATGAGATTATAAAGAATTCTGATTTTTTTTAAAAAGTAATTCTCATTCATAAACAGCAAGGAATGAGGCAAACATCTGAAAAATATGGTGAATTTGTTCCCAGCTGAATTAGAACTATAATAATTTATAATGAAAGTTATTAGCAAAAATAAATTAACTAATTAACTAATCACATATTTTACTGTTTAAAGCTCATTTGAATTCATGTGAATTAAATTAGTTGATTTAATTAAATTATTGTTATCTTCAGCCCTTTTTTTCTTGTTAGACTCTATTATGGAGGCAAATATACAACATGATTTTCATGTTTAATTTTTCTGATGCATGGCTCACTCTTTGTTAGTTTTTAGAAAGGCCTTGTCTTCTTGAAGACTTTTATTATAATGGATTTAAAATCTTAAATGATATGGCTTGAGGTTTTATAGCTTATGTCTTGTAAAATTGGTTATCATTTAGATTATACATAAAATTTGAATGATGACTATCATGAAGATAATAAAAGAAACTTGTCTTGTAAAGAATATGATATACACCTAACAGAAAGGAGCCCACTGCTTCTGTGAAATAAGACTCTTTGACAAATTGTTTACCCTTAGAAAATGTCTCCTAATGTTCAACCATAATCTGCCTTCCTAATTTTGAAATCCATGATTCCATGGCTGGCTTTTTGGAATGACACAGAATTTTTTGTCTCCACAGTGTTTTTCAGACACTTGAAGATTCTGCCATATTCTCCTCTATGTCTTGTTATTATCAAAGTTAAACTTGTATAGTATCTTTAATATATTTTATATAATTTAAATACTAATTTCCCAATACTTTTATGATTGCTTTTTCTGAACCTTTTCCGATTTGTTTAATTCTGCTGGACAAAATGTTCAATGTAACATCTGTGAGATGTTATCTTATTTGCTTAATATATTATTAAGCATTACATACATATTATATATGTATAAAGAATAGTTACGATAACATTAGAGATACACGTACCATGTTTTCCCGAAAATAAGACAGGGTCTTATTTTCTTTTGACCCATGAAATATGGCCTTGGCCTTATTATCAGGGGGGTCTTATTATTTTGGGGATGCAGGAGACGGCAAGCATGGGACTGCATGTCCTGTCATCCCCCATTGCCTCCCCTCCCTGTTCTTTGCGCCGACCGAGCTGCCGTCCGGCATTGCTCTGACATGTCCCATCACCACCCTGCATCGGGTTGGGCTTTCTTTGCAAGTGGGACAATCTGTAGAGCAAGAGATTTAGGAAGCCTGGACTGGCGTGGGGCAGTTTCTCCAGTGAAGCATCTGATTAATCCCCAGGGGTGAGCGTTTTGCCTCCTCTCTGCCCCAGCTTGGAAGCTGCAGAGGAAGCCTGCCATGCCCAGGCTTGGGGGGGGGGGAGAAGAGATGGCAAGAGAAGCCATGTCTTGCTCCATGCCTCTCACTTCTCCTCCACCCCACCTGCCACCCCTCTCGCTAAAGAGACTGTGGGGAAGGGAAGCATCCTGGATTCTGTTAACATTGGGGCGGGGTGGGAGGAGTTGGGCTGCAAGACACAGTTCCTACCCAAGACTTGCAGCTCCATCGTGTTTCTCCCTGTTTTGTCCAGGGAAGCACCCTGTAAAAAAAAATATTGTGGGTTCAACTTTTTACTGTCACTCCTCCTCCCCCCCCCACATACCTCACTGGGCATGGCAGGCTTTCTCTGCAGCTTCCAAGCCAGGGCAGAGAGATGGCGAAGGACGAAACATTCACCCCTGGGGATGAATCAGATGCTTCAATGGAGAAACGGCCCCATGCCAGCCCAGGCTTCCTAAATCTCTTGATCCCCAGATCATCTGCCTTGCAAAGAAAGCCCACCCCAACACAAATATCGCCTCCAGCCACCTCTTCATCCTGGTGAAAGTACATTTTGAAAGGATGATCTGCAGGGGGGGATTTCCTCCACATTGGCAGTGGTGTCTCCTCACAGGGCTTCTCCCGATGTCCCAGGTGCGAAGCAACATCCCATAAAGGAAGGCATGGAAATCCATACAACTGGGGATGTCGGAAGAAGCCTTGTGAAAAGATGCTGCTGCCGATGTGCAGGAAATCTCCCCCCTCCACCTTCAGATAGCCTTGTGGGCTGGCCGGAGAGATCTTCAATGAACTTTGCTCTGTGTGTGTCTCTACAGGTGGCAGCGTCGGCAGTATCTCCTCGCAGGGCTCATTCTTCCTTCTCTCTGATCTGATTCTCAAATATTTTCAAGCAAAACACTGTCAAGAGTGGGAAGAATCTCTTCTCCCTCTCTCACCAAACTTTGCATGTAGGCGTAACATTTCACAAAGCTCCTTAATCTGCAGCTGCTGGCTCCCTCACTTTGTGTTTTTTATACACATACCAACATACCCACCCTTCCTGGTAATGCCGTTTCCCACTCCCAAGATTCCATTTCCGAGGAAAGAAGAGTGCTGGGGCTGCACTGTACTTTCCCCCCTGCCCTGACTCCTGTCAGCCTCAACTTTGCTCCTGAAACCCTGCAGGCCGTTTCTCTGCTTGAGCTCAGTCAAAGGGGTGGGGGAGCTGAGAGCAAGGGCGAGGTGAAGCTGATTGCTTCCCCTTTGCCTTCTCTCCCAAAAGCAATCTCGGGCGCAGCCATTTTTGCAGCAGGAGACTCAAGCCGGCCTTCTGAAGTGTACTGTAGCAGCAGCTATCCACAATTTTTTATCCTTATTCCGTCTCGATCCACATGGCTCATTGGGCCAAGTGGGTCGGGCTGAAATAATGATAAAAAAATTGTTATAGCTGCTGCTACATTACACTTCGGAAGGCCAGTGCAAGGTGCGTGGGGTGCATCACTTGGCCTTCTGCTGCTTTTGTGGCCGCAATCAATGGCAAAAGCAGCTGCACTTGCCAGAGGCCACAGCCTGAGCAGCACCAGCAAATCAGCTATTTTTTGAATGGCAGCCAGATCGGCTCAACTGATCCGATTAAGGAGCCGAGAAGCGCTGAGGTGACCAAGGAAGGAAAGGGCTTCCTCCTGTACTTGCCACAGCACCCTTTCACTAGGGCTTATTTTCAGGGGAGGGTATATATTTACACCCACCTCAAAAACCAGGCCTGGCCTTATTAGCAGGACATGTCGTATTTTCGGGGAAACATAGTACATTTTTATAAAGATCTTTAAAATGCAAATTATTTGTGCTGAATGTTAATTTGATATATGAGGAATATTATTTTAAAAATTAAGATACCAAAAATCAGGACAGTTATTTTGACTGGGAAATTAGAGTGACTCACTGCAAGTTAAAATTAGAGCAAGGAGATAAATTTGTGACTTTGGTAAATAGTTTATGATGAGAATATAAGAAAAAGATTCTAAGTGGTGTGAATGTCTGTAGCAAATTGGTAATATATATTCCATTAAGATGGATAAATATTGCTCTTACTATAAGAGCATGCTTCTACTTATTTTTTATATGTGAGTGAGAAGTGGGAATGACAGGAGAAACATGAAAGTAAGTTTCTGTGGAGATTATCAGTCATCCAGGTCATGGTTGAATCAAAGGTGCTTTTTCAAAAGCCAATTGGACTGCTTTTTTTCTTGAGGAAGAAGACATTTTCTTCTCATTCAAGAAGCTTCATCAGTTTGGGCAGGATGGTGGGAGGGATCAGTGGTGGGATTCAACCAGTGTAACAACTGGTTTGCTGAGCATATGCTTCATGCGTAGACAGTCCATTTAGAAACAGCTCTAAAACTTACCTTCTATTGCAGTCTCAGTGAGTAAAACAGCTGAGGCGTGGCAATTGCTGTGCTGTGCCTATCAGCTGGGCTTCAACAAAGGAAATATAGGACAGACTCGTGCAGGTGTGGGTGGTCGGGCCCAGCTGATCCTCAGAGCTACTGGTTTGCCAGAACCGGTCTGAACTGGTAGACTCCCACCTGTGGGAGGGATGGAAAGATTGGTTCTGACAGGAATTTGGGGTGGGGAGGGAGGATTTTGAAGGATCATATTTTTTGCAGTCATTGTCATTAGCATTATCCCTGAGAAATCTTGATGCCACATGGGGGTTTATTGTTGCCCTCAGCGTCATCTATTTCAGAGTGCATGGGGGTGGGATTTTCTTGAAACTGTTGAAAAGACTGTGTTATAGACAAAAGATAGGTGATGTCTTATATGACAGCTGCTCGATGTTAACATAAATGGCCTCTTTTACCCTTCTTTCAAACATTGTGGATAGGGAGGACCATTGGTTTGAAAGAGAGATAAAAGAGAACATTTATGCTAATAGGATAATACTACTGCTGGTGTAGTATTTTTTTCATGACCACTATGGTATTATGGCTCAAATATTTCTATAAATCAGGATAGGGAGAACAAAATGGATATGACAAAACAGATCAGTGAGCCTTTAATTTGCACATGACCACCAAATCTTTCAAAAGTCTAAATAACCATAATAAAATTAATTAAATTAGTCATGTACTAAATAGCAACATTTATGATTTTTTTAAAAAAAACTTTCAATAGTGAGGTTGAAGCAAGTTCATAGTTTCTTTACTTGGAATATAATTTGCCATCTCATAATGCTATAATGTCCTTCTTTATCTTGGAATATAAAATAAAATTCTAAGCAGGTACAATGTACTTTTTTGGTTTGTTTGAACCAAAATTTGTGATAGTTCAAATAGGGGCAATCAGCTTCCAGAGAATTGGTTAAGTCTTCAGAAATCTTTGAACAAGTGTAGGAATTTCCAGAATTTAGCAGAAAGGGTTTCGAGCAATCCCAAAAATTTCACATTAAAAATTCCCTATATAGTCAGGGTTGATTCAAAGCTGAAATCTAAACATTGTAAATCATATTGAGATCCAATTGAGTTATGCAAAACTTGTCTCTAAGTAGACCAGTTGAGAACTGAGTTATATTTGTACTTGTTCATTGATTCCAAGCTCTGTTTTGACATTTAGTATGTTCAATGGATTAAACAGCTAGTGAGAGCAAGTACAGGGAAGCTACACTTCCATATCACTGGACATGCATTGGCTTCTGAAGATCTTAAGTGTTGACACAGGAGGAGATACAAAAACATGCACTCAGTTGTGAAAACCTTTGCATGAATTTTCATCTAAATGTGCTTTGAATTCATTGTGGATGTTAACTTTTATTGCACAAATATTTGTAAAGGATGCAACAATTTTACTGTTTGCAAAGTGTGGCTTATGTATGTGCACGCCTTAATCACACTAAGGCTAATGTTTCCAAAAATGTTCAGCTCTTATATAATCACAGCCCCCTTGTAATTAATTTAAGTAAACCCTGTTGACAAAGATAAGTCTGAAAATAAGCCAGACCTTATTTTTAGAATACTGTAGAAGTTTGAGAAAAGGAAGTCTGCTTTAATGAATAGTGGGGTGATGCTGTGTTTTTTTGTGTGAAAAATATAAATACTTTTTCAAGCATGCAAAGCCTACTTACTTTCTTCTCAGACTTTGCAGATGATTTTGTTGTAGATAAATTCTTATTAAATTAATATGTAAAACTTGCTGTTTTCTTCTATAACTGTTTTTACTTTACCCTAAGACTGGTTTGTTCAAATCTAGACAAGTATTTAATTTTAGATTCCACCATTTATCAGGACATGTATCATAAATTGGAGTAGTAGATGCTATTCCTGTATTCCTAGGGTTCAGGCTAAAAAGGGAGGAAAATCGTTGATCTCACTAGCCTGAAGTCTCACAAGTGTCACTCTTGACATTAAAGCAAAAACATATTGAAAGTATTTTTAAAAAGTGACAGCTTGAAGAAGAAGGTCAATTGCTGATTTTTGTTGAGTACTTTACTGATAGTAATCCTTGACTAAAAATGTAAAAAAGTATTAACTGGTTTATCAAAAGAAAAAAATTAGGTTGCCTTCCTTGAATAGAAATGATCGAAATGGCAGTGCTCTTAGCTAGAATATTTTTAAAGTACTGCTTCCATTTTATATTAAATAAGAAAAAGGCCTAATAAGCACTAAAAATATATGCTTCACCCAAGCATGCCAAACCTTATCTTTTTCATTCCCATTTTAATTACTTTAAACCTTGAGGACAATCATCCAGGAATAATTAAGAATTAATATGAGAAGGTTCTCTGTTTCATATGTGTAGCCTCTTAACTAAAAATGTTGCCCACCTGAGACTAAAGTACCTTGAACTCTTAAATATGATGTTCACCTACTTTTTCTTAATTTATAATTCTATTAAAATGGAAGCTGCAATAGTTTTACCCACCTTCACCAAATGGCAAGTATATTACAAAATAGTCTTGTATTTCAGAAACTGCAGATTTCTGCTAGAATTCATATTAGGCATACAGGCATACAAATATGTTCCTAGCATGTAGGGGTTCCTCTGAAATGTCTAAGAAATGGCACTAAGCAAAAATGAGCTTTTCATTGATCTAGCGTAAGAAAGCAAATGAACAGTAGATTACTTTAGGCTAGTAAACCAATGTTTGAAATCACTATTTATTCTTTGTTTATGGATTGCAAATGTATGATATGTAAAATGCACATGGTTTATATCTAATATCCTGGTTTATTCCCAGTTTGCTTTTCAGTAATGTCTAGGTTCTGAACTGTTCACAAATGCAACAGAAACTAAAGATTGAAAAGTAAATAAAACATAGGCTAATAAACCATGACTATTTTTCCCGAGGTTTAGAATTTAAGAAGGTTATATTGACATCAGATTAGAATCCTAGCTAATCCTACACACTGTATCATTGTGACCCTACACATAATAACAAGCTTTGGTAAATTCACTAGGAATATATTATATGTCCTGATCACAGCAGGTACAAAGAGGATACAAACATACCAGTGGAGCCATAATTCTATCCTCTCCTACCCTTGCAGGATGTATGATAACGTATCCATGTATCCTCTGAAACGCATATCAGTTTTGTGAATAAGGCCATTTTAATTAGGAAGAAAATGCAGTATCAAATCATAAATATTTTTCCTTTTGTGGTGTAACTGGGAAATAAAGAAGAGGGAAGTAAGATAGCTTATAGTAGAAAAAATATGTATCCTTTTAGCTGATTATTTTCTGCATGCATCTGGGAGGCAGGGAGAGAGAGAGAGATAATATGAATAGAATTCATCAAATTTACAGATGACACTAAGCTTGCACGAATAGTCAACACCCCAGAAAACAAGCTTAGGATTCAAAAAGAACTCGACAGACCAACAATGGGCCCTATCCAACAACATGAAATTTAATGTGGAGAAAAGCAAAGTTTTACACCTAAATAGGAAAAACCAAAGATACTAGTACAGATTAGTTGAAACCTGGCTCAAAAACAGTAACTGTAAGAGAGACCCTGGAGTCCTAGTGGATGATCACTTAAACATGACTCAGCAGTGTGTGGCAGCAGCCAAAAAAACCTAATAAAATCCTTGGTTGTATAAACAGAGGCATAGAATAAAAAACATGTGGAGTATTTTTACCACTTTATAAATCCTTGGTAAGACCACATCTGGAATGCTGCATCCAGTTTTGGTCACCACATTACAAAAATGTTGACACTTTGGAAAAAGTGCCAAGAAGAGCAACTAAGATGATTAAGCACCTCCATACAAAAACATATGATGAATGGTTGCAGGAGTTGAGTATGGCCAGTCAAGAGAAAAGAGGAAATGATAGCAGAATTCCAGTATTTGAGGGGCTGCCACAAAGAAGAGAGGGACAACTTATTTTCCAAAGCACCAGAAGGCAAGAGAAGGAACAATGGATTGAAACTACTCAAGAAGAGAAGAAATCTTGAATAAGGACAGACTCATAATTGGGAGGACAATTAACCAGTGGAACAGCTTGCTTTCAGAAATTGTAGGTACTTCATCACTGGAGGGTTTTAAGAAAAGACTGGACAACCATCTATTGTATCTGAAATGGTATTAGGGTCTCCTGTTTGAGCAGGAAGTTTGGCTAGGTAATCTCCAAGGTCCCCCCCCCCCAGCTTTATTCTGAGAGAGAGAGAGAGACAGAGACAGACACAGAGACACAGAGACAGACAGACAGACACACACACACACAAACACACACACAAAAATAACACACATATTACTGTTAGGTTATGACCCAGAGAAAGTAACTGTGATTAGCATATTTAAATCTATATGGGATCTTAATTATAGAGATCTAATTTTATCATTTGTTTTAACAAGGTTCACTCTGATGAAGATTACAGTATAAACTGCAAGCAACAAAAATATTACCTTTAATTCATATCGATAATAGTTGAGTGGTATAGCATAAAAACATGTCTACAAGTTGTAGCCTTTCCTACTAATTTATTTTTATATGTATTATTTTTAGTTACATGACTGATGGAGGGCTCAATCTATACACAAGAAGCTTGAATCGAATTCCTGACATAGCTGCCTCTCGAGATGTCATTCAAAGAGGAATTCATGATGTGACAGTGGATGCAGACAGGTAAAGCTTTCTTTTTCAATACCAAAGATGTTTGGGAAAGTTATTCAAGGCAATTAATTTTCAGATATGTAAATATTGGGATCAGTAGCTGTAGGTTGGGGAGCATTAAAAATAATGGCAACAAAACCTAAGTTGGAGCTGGACAATTATTGAAGAGAATTGTGTATTCTTGAAGGACATAATGCCTTCTCCTCCCCCAAATCTCTTGTATCAACATCCACCAGACAGTTTCTATCAGAATGACCAATAATTTTGTGATTTATCAAGTGCTGCAAATAAATTGGCCTGTAGAATACAAAGGCAGAGCAGCTGCCTAGCAATAATGCCAGCATTTAAGAATTTCTTCTTGTAAATCAGATGGTGATTAAAACTAACAAATTTCTGCATAACAGGATTTGTGCTATAATTTTTATTTTGTATTTTAGACTATTTTCTGCTTTGTGCATATACTGCAGATTATGATGTCCTTGTGCTTGTGGAGTGTAGCCCAATGGCTAGTTTACAGTGAGATTGTAGCCTTCACATTTCAATTCGTTTCCCACCTCTTGACAAAGTTCCTATGCCATCTGCTACAGCAGGGAGAATTTGACAGTAGTGCCAGCTTCAGCTCAGACTAATCCAAAGTGAGTTTTTCATCCAACTCACGATCAAAAAAAAATATGTCATCAAAAATATGAAATATGAGTCCATGTTTAAGTTGTTAAATAATGTCTGAACTCCCCCCATTAGTACAGTATTTACTTTAGCAATAGACGGATGTATTTTAGCTAGCTAGGGTAGAACAAGACTAGGTGGAAGGTTCACAGAGGGTGATTCCCATCTGAAATAAGGAAAATTTTCCTGGCATAACTGCTATTAAGGAATGGAACATCTATCTCCTGGAGCCATGGGTTCTCCATCATAAAGATTTTTAAGAAGAGGTTGATCAGCCATTTGTCTGAGATGATACGAAGATTACTGCCCTCAAGATCCCATCCAGCCAAGGGATCTGTATTTACCATGCATATTTTCTGTTGTTTTTTGAATGGCTCCCCGCCCCCAGATTTTTACAACCCAGTAATAATGTTTCTTTACAATATGCTTCTTCTGCACTTATAATTTGGACTTGAAACTTGTATCGAATAGTTTTCAGACATTGGAAAAGAAAGACTCAGACATTTCATAGACAAGGAAAAAAATGATTGTGTGCTTTAATAATCAAATAAATTAAATCATAAGATGTTAATTTGCTTTAGCTAAAATCTTCTTTATACTAAAGCTATTTATTTTCTGGACCAGTCCATGCAGTTGCCTAAATATATTTGCATTAGATTGCAGAGGAGTTGAGCAAACAGTCACAGAGCTACAGGTGAATGCAAGCAAATCTGTTTACTTGTTTTATTCATGAAATTGCTTTATTGTATAAGTTTCAAAGAAAATAGAGCCTCCACATTTCTAATTTTTATCTCTTTGTAACAATTGGAAAGACTATCATTTTGAGGACTTCCTGATGCATGTATTTAATTTACAGCTACTATAAAGAAAATTATTTTCTTTTCTCAAATCTAAAATATTGCATTTAGATTGGGCCCATCACATTTTAGAAAGCAATTGAAAAAATGAAGCATTTCCATAGAAGAGTAATCAAGACAGGAAGGAACCTGAAAAGACCTCCAGCTACTGTTGTAAATACCAGGTAGCAGTCGGTGGTACTGGGTATGTGTAGCTGGAAGAAAAGAAGGCTGCGGGAATATATTATATTTGTCTTCTTTAAGCAGTTAAGGGTTTCGTTTAATTAAAGCCTCTCTCTTAACCAAGAAAGAATTATAATAGGAATAATACATGAGAATATTTATCTCCTTGCATCTGGTGCTCTTTTGATCCCTTATATTTCTAATTTTGCAGATACTAAAATTCTTAAAACCAGTAATAGAGGTATCCTGTCTGCTACCTTGGTTTTTTGCTTCACTCCCATGTACATGGCTGAAGTACAGGTTTAGGAACTAGAGCTTTTTTGTGTGTGTGTTGATTACAGCTGGGAAATATAAAAGTGAGAGTCATTTGTATCTCATTATTACAGGAGGAAAATTTCAGTATGTGCAAACTAGCAGATTGTCCTAAATAGGCACTGTGCTTTAAATACACCTGCAGAGCATGCATTTTCTCTGATTTCACTGCAGCAAATTCTAGGAAGAAAACAGATCTATACATAGACTGCTTTTAATTAGAGCAGTAATTTTGTATGAAAATTCAGGCCATGTGCTATGTTAATTTTCATTTCAAATTATATAAAGGTTGCAGCTCTATTATCTGTGAAGAGATTTCATTTTATTTATATTAATCTATAGATATAAGCTCCTAAAATTTTAACAGTTCTAGTGCTATGCAACACAAAATGCTATTGTTAATATAAATGATGCTTTGCGTAAATTTTTATTTTATTTAGTTTTCTACTCTGGGGAGTATTAACGATATCTAACAATATTTTTAAAAAAAATATATAATTAAAAAACTATTTAAAATGAACAATAACATAGTGTATACATTAATTTATGAATTTAAAATATGACAAAGGTTGTGTCTTTACAGATTTTCTAAATTAGAGGCCAGATATAACTCTTTTTGTCAAAAAGTTAATTTCTAAATTTCCTGGACATTTTAGTAGCCGCTCAGTTAAGTTAAGTAACAGAAATATTCTGATTCTTTTGATAATCTTGAACAATTCAAGATTTTAAAGGGAATTACAAACATTTTAAATTTCACCTAATAGGCAAGTGGCAAACAGATTTTTTCAGAATAATATGATTAGGAAAGTTTACACTGGTTAACGTTGTGGCAGCGGCTCTTGTACCAGCTGAAGATCTAATCAGTTTTCAAGGATAATCTATGCATAACATGTTGTGGTAATCTAGAAAGGGTGTACAGTAGATAACAATATAAAATCTGACTCATTTCATGTCATATGAGAAGTAATTATGCAAATTCACTCTTAATCATAAACACCCTCTTCAAATCCAGTGACAGCCAAGGACCTAAGTGGGCCCAAGTATATGAAACTGCTGGTCCATGAAAAGTACAACCCCATTCAAAAGACTGAATCTTAGACACCAGAACCCTATTTCAATATTTCTGTTTGTGTGAATTTAATTTTAGCTTATTTCCCCTGCTTAGTTCAGTATCAAACTTTGGAAACATGTAAATTAAGACTCAATCATCCAGGCCAAAAGTATCTAAAAAGGTTAGATCATGGCAACTGGATCAAAGTTTGTTAATCTGAGATGTTTTGTTACTGAAGAAGCCATCGCTGGATCCAGCCATTTTGAACAACTACCGTCCAGTCTCCAACCTCCCCTTTATTGGGAAGGTTGTTGAGAAAGTGGTGGCCTCTCAACTCCGACGGTCCTTGGATGAAGCCGATTATCTGGACTCCTTTCAGTCTGGATTCAGGCCTGGCTACAGCACGGAAACCGCTTTGGTCGCACTGACCAATGATCTCTGGAGAGCCAGGGATAGAGGTCATCCCTCCATCCTAGTGCTCCTTGACCTCTCAGCGGCCTTCGATACCATCGACCATGGTATCCTTCTGCGACGGTTACGAGAGGTGGGGGTGGGAGGCACCGTTTTTCGGTGGTTCTCCTCCTACCTCTCAGACAGGTCGCAGTCAGTGTTGGTCAGGGGGCAGAGGTCGACCCCTAGGCCCCTGAAATATGGGGTTCCTCAGGGTTTGGTCCTGTCCCCCTTCCTGTTTAACATCTACATGAAGCCACTGGGTGAGATCATTCGATGGCACGGGATAAAATACCATCAATACGCGGACGATACTCAGTTGTATCTGGCCGCCCCGTGCCAACTCAGTGAAGCGGTCGACGTGATGTGCCAGTGCCTGGAGGCTGTCAGGGTCTGGATGGGGGTTAACAAGCTTGTGTTCAATCCAGACAAGACCGAGTGGCTGTTGTGTTTCCCTCCCAAAAATTTGGTTAGTATTCCATCACTCAGGCTTGGGGGTGACATTTTACGCCCCTCAGACAGGGCTCACAACTTGGGAGTCCTCCTGGACCCACAGCTGACTTTAGAACATCATTTGTCGGCTGTGACCAGGGGGGCATTTGCCCAGGTTCACCTGGTGCACCAGTTGCGTCCCTACCTGAACTGGGAGGCACTCGCAACAGTCACTCACGCCCTCGTGACCTCAAGACTGGACTACTGCAATGCGCTCTACATGGGGCAGCCCTTGAAGAGCATTCGGAGACTTCAACTTGTCCAGAATGCAGCCGCGTGAGCGATTGTGGGTGTACCTCAATACACCCACGTTACACCTATCCTCCGCGAGCTGCACTGGCTTCCAATCGGTCTCCGGATATGCTTCAAGGTGCTAGTTATCACTTATAAAGCCCTTCATGGTATTGGACCTGGGTACTTGAGAGACCGCCTGCTGCCAATTACCTCCCAAAGACCCATTAGATCGCACAGGGTCGGCCTCCTCCGGGTTCCGTCTACCAGCCAATGCCATCTGGCTACGACCCGGGGGAGGGCCTTCTCTGTTGAACGAACTCCCCGCGGAGATTCGGACCCTCACCTCTCTCCTGGCCTTCCAAAAAGCCGTTAAAACCTGGCTATGTCGGTAGGCCAGGGGTTGATGAGCTCCCTTCCCCTCTCGACAGGTGTGGTTGTTGGCTATTTTAAATGCTTGTCTTGTTATTTGTATGTTCCCTTTCCTGCTTGAGTTGTTCGCCGTCCTGAGTCCCTGTAGGGAAAAGGGCGGCATATAAATAAAACAAACCTCAACCTCAACCTCAACTCATCCAAGTAACTTCTCAGTCAAAATAAAAAATTAGGCAGAGTCAGAGAGTTGTTGGAATCTACTAAGTCTTGCCACCAACTGCAGGGGCTTCTCCCCAAAATGCATTGCAATATTATACATCATATAATATATCACAGTAAAACAGTGTTTTGCTATCAAGCATGGTGTCTTAAGGCAATCAATAGGTGTCAAAAATTTTTTTGAAAAGCAGTTCTTGTAA